ATAGTATAGTTCTTAGAATAGAATATTCTACTATACTTCTTACTAGTATAGGAAATAGTAAAAAGAAAAAGCTAACTAGAAAGAAGAAGGAGATATAATATTAATAACTAAAGCTACCTAGGCTATAAAAGAAGTAGCTTATAGTTTAAATAGTTTCCTAGTATAGAAGATAGATAGTAGAAATAGGAGAGTTTTTTACCCGAGCTCTAGCTATAGTTTTTATTTCTAGTAAATATATAGTAACTCTCTATATAGGCTCGAAAGAGAACTATATCGATATAGAATATAAAAAAAATTATACTCTCTATATATATTAATATTAGCGCTCTTCTCGACTAGTAATTAGATAACCTCTACGTAACCTCTATAAGACGTAGCCTAGAGTACGTTACTATATATCTCTCTATATATCTTAATATTAGCGCTCTTCTCGACTAGTAATCGGACTATATCTATATAACTTTTCTTAGATATAGTCTAGAGTATATTACTATAGTCGCCTCTCTATATATTAATATTAGTACCTTCCTTTAGTAGTAACTATATAACCTCTATATAATCTTCTAAAGATATAGTATAGAGTACGTTATCGTATAGCTCTCCTTAGGTATTAATATCGGCGCTCTTCTCGAGTAGTAATTAGATAACCTCTATATAATCTCTATAAGATATAGCCTAGAGTATATTACTATTATCCTATATCTATATATTAATATTAGTACTCTTCTCGACTAGTAATAGAATAATCTCTATATAACTTCTAGAAAATATAGCTTAGAGTATACTACTATAGTATCCTTCTTATATTTTAATATTAGTACTCTTCTCGAGTAGTAATCGGACTATCTCTATATAACTTCTAGAAGATATAGCCTAGAGTACGTTATTATAGTACTCTCTCTATATCTTAATATTAGTACTCTTCTCGACTAGTAATTAGATAACCTCTATATAACTTCTATAAGATATAGCCTAGAGTATATTACTATAGTACTCTCCTTATATATTAATACTAGTACTACTATCGAGTAGACTCTAAGTAGACCTAATAAGCCTACGACGAGATATATAGTATAGTAGAGCTAGTAGGCTTAGTATCTAATACTTTCTACTATACTTTCTCTAAAGTCTATCGAGGTCGAAAGTATATAACTAGAATCTATATACTATATACGTAACGAAGAGTTTATATATTAAGAGCTATATATCCTATTCTTCTCTTTTAGCTATAATAGTATAATCTATCTAGTACTTAGCTACGAAGTATTAAAGTAGTAACTATATACTAATATTACTTTCTAATATATCTTAAGTAGCCGTAAGCAAGTAAGTAATACTAGTCTCTACGATTATAGCTCTAGTATATAGCTTACTTAGGTAGGCTTAAAAGCGTTCTATAACGCGAGTCGAGACTAAATATTCCTTTACTAAGAAATGCGCTAGCTATAGCTCTATTATATAGTCCCGATTTGCCCTACTTTCGTTATCTTCTAAAGCGCGTTGTCTTGTTATTATTTTAATTAAGCTAGAACAGACCCTAGCGATATCTTTTGGATTCGGCATCCGATTTTCGGCCCGAAAGGCGGGACTCTCCTCCGTGTCAATCGCTATCGCGTCGATGGCTTCGTCAAGTCGTAGTGGCCGCTCCGAAAAAGTCAAGAATTGAAGAACCCGAATCATGTCTCTGCTGTTTCCCTCGGAGACTTTTTCTAAGATGCGAGAATAAGTTCCATCCAGATCTTCGGGAAGGAACGATAATGCATCCCGGAGGCTTCGGAGATTAACGCAATCTTTGAGGGCATCGAGCTGACATGCAGCCCATCGGAACCTGTGAGTAATCTGAGCTTTTGACGTGGTGCTTGGACTTCGATTGCTTACATTCCACCGGCTTTCTCTATCAAGGCCGTCTCAATTTCTTTCTGTACTTCTGGCCACTTCTTCCACCGCTGGAGATCCTCGTCATGGTGAATCCGGCTGCGTACTACTTTGCGAATATCTTCATCCACGGTCCTTTCCTGGATAGGCACTACTGCCGCTGCCGGAATCCACTTGGAGAATGAGGCCTCGATATCGCCTTCCTTGCGACTGGTCAGGAGGACTCGAATTTTCTCTAGATGGTGTGAGGCTAGCCAGTGGAGGAGATCTCTTCTTGTTTCACATTCGTCCAGCGCATCGAGCACAATAGTAACGTTCCTCGCATCACTGGTCATGCTTTGGAGTATTGTAGCCAGCGCCTGGGTGGACGGCTGCTCGTTGCCATCCTTGCAAGAAGAGTGGAGCTGGTGCACATGATGTCGGCATGGCTCATGCTGCTGATAAAGTTGAGCAACAAGGGAGCGTAACATCTTGTCAAACGACTGCTTGCTGGAATCATTAAAGTCAAAGTAGTGGAACAGCACAATGAAACCCGACGTGTCAGCTCCGTCTTTCAGATCCTCGATGATGGCAGAGCTAAGGATGGTCTTACCGCAACCGGGAATCCCATTCAGCCAGAGAGGGGCGCTGGGATTTGCTTTCCAAATGATATACTCGTCGCTATCAAGGAACCATCGACCAGTATTAGGATGTCTCAGGTCTGTGGCTATGTTGTAATTCGTCGAAGGATCTGGCGGAGAGAGCCATTTGTCGATTTGCTGTTCTTGATGATCTCCAAGTTGAGCAGTGACGACATGTCTTGTCGCTTGGATATCTGCCTGTACTTGATTACCGATCTTTTCGACTGGACGTGTGATTAGCACATGTGTGAATGAGCTTACATTTCGGCCTGGAAGACGACTAACTATTGTGCAGGGTCTCTTGGATTCTCTTCTCCGCCTCGACCTGGCTTGGTGCAATGTTGAACAGGAGTTCCTTTGCCCAGGCCGCCGCCGCAACAGCTGCCAAAGGCTGCCATTCCTTGTTCTTGTGAGAGTCGCAGTAGTCACAAATGCCGCGGACGACGAGGCAAGGGAATCGGTTCATGAGCCCTGCGGCTTCCATCTCAAAGCAAAGGACGTCGTGATGCTGTCTGCTGATAGTGTCCCGCTTTGCGGCGTCTTTCATCACCTGATTTCCGGAAGCTATCAAGCCGTAGTGGACGACGGGTCCGGATCTCTTGCGTGATTTGCGCTCTATCACCTGCGAAGCATCGCAATCCATGCATGATGATTTCTCTGGAACGTGAGGGTAGGAAGCATGGAAAAGGTGGTCTATGTTTGGCCGCTCCGCAAAGTCTGGTTCGTCGTCGAAATCCTCATGGTTGTAGTACTGATCAAATCGACTCTCTTTTCGTGGTGTTGATTGAACCTTGCCAAGGGCAGAGGGGAGGATTTCGGGGGGCTGATTAAGCATTCCTGTTGGCTGAAATGCGCCTCCATGTATCGCTTTGCCAAAGTCATATTGAACCACCCCGCCGTGCCCTGCTCGCAAGTCTGGTTGGCTGACAACGACATCGCCCAGTCGTATGTCCTTGCTGCCGGGTACACCACCTCCGATGCCGACCAATAGGCCAAAGCGAAGAGACGGGAACGTCGCCGACATCTCGGCAGCGACAGCAGCAGCAGAGGCGATGCCGATTTGAGTGGCCGGGAGACAGCCCATGACCACGTTGTGCCCATTCATGCTTTCGTACACGTACTGGTGTATTGTTGTATGGCCGATGATTGCTCTCTCGTGCACCTCATCTAGAAGGATCCGCGAGGCCTTCCACTCTGGTTGGGGAAGGGCACAAATCCATCCTACTGTATACTCCTCCTTGGCTAGTCTTTTTCCAATCATCGCACGCGGCGTTCGCTATTGGAGCGCAGCAGGAGGGTGTGGGCGGCGGACGGAGTTTGTGTACCTGCCGGCGGAAGAAGTCGATGGGGCACAGAGCGGAGGATGTAGCCCAGCCGCATATGGCAGGCAACGCGTTCCTTTATAGATTCGACAACATAGAGTAGAAGGACGGACGGGTTTGCGGGTGTAATGACTCCGGTTTGCAAACAAGGCTGGATGTGAACGAAAGCTCACCGATCACATAGCGAAGCGGCGGCTAGACATGCAGCTCAGCCGCACATGCAGCAGCTGTACTGATGCTCGGTACACTCCTGTCGACATGCGCACCGCTGATTTGTCACAATTGGCCGCCATTCGCACGAAGGTGATGGTGGCTGCTGCACTCCGCCCCATCTACCCGCCACCCATTGCATTTCTGCATTTGGAGCTTGCAGCAACAGCTCGGACCATGAGAAGTTCAAAAGATGCGGGGGAAAGCGGGTGGAAGGCTGTGTAATATGTTGACGTATGTGTAGTTGTGAGTGAGTGTGAGCGAGGCAGAGGCAGAGAGAGTGAGGTTGCTTCCGCGGCTGGAATGCCCTGATCTTGGTAAGCTGCACTATGTATAATTGCGCCTAGGCTGATCTCGGTCTAGCGCATTTGTTCGTCGCATTTCCGGCTATTTTTTTTTTTATATCCTACACTAATATAGTTCCCTTTCGGGCCTATATAGGGAGTTACTATATACATTCGCTAGAGATAAAAACTATAGCTAGAGCTCGGGTAAAAAACTCTTCTACTTCTACTATCTATCTTCTATACTAGGAAACTATTCGAACTATAAGCTACTTCTTTTATAGCCTAGGTAGCCTTAGTTATCGATATTATACTTCCTTTTTCTTTTTAGTTAGCTTCTTCTTTTTACTATTTTCTATACTAGTAAGAAGTATAGTAGAATATTCTATTCTAAGAACTATACTAT